CTACTCGTCTCAAAGGATGTACAGGGTTCTTCATAGTGCACACGAGCCATTGTATACACAGGGCCTACAGTTTATAGTCCTTATCCGAGAAGACTTGTTCTACCACCAGAACCATAGGCAAGCGTTTGAACCAACGCCGATATTATGGCTATAGCTTGCGGCGCCCCTGCTAACTGCTAGGCCATTCGACTCGCATTAAGCTTTAGTAATCTTTTGTCACATCATTTCACAAACCATGCCATCAGCGATGGCTCCAGAAATTTGCTGACAAGGGGTCCAAACCAAGGGGCCGACTAGAGCCTCGGTTTGGGTCTCAGAATAAAAAATCCTTGTTAGTGTTCATAGGGAGAGTTTTATGGCTTAGTATGGCCCAAAATATTATGGAGTGGCAATCAAAAAAACGGAATTTGTATAGGCACCTTGTTATTTTCGATCCGACGACCTCGTCGTAGCGTCCGACAACAGGTGGAAGGTCAAGCCCTGTCTGACGGAGGGGGAAATTCCGCCTCGCCACCACTGCACGCCATTAGGATTGCTTATCAATTACTGAACCAGTCATGATGGATGTTTCCGGAGTATCTATCAAACTTAACAACTGACCAATCATTACGGTGCCAGGAATACTCGCGTGTCTGTCTCTTATACACATCTAGATGTGTATAAGAGACAGATTCAGCAGCATGAACCATGGACACTTGTGAAAAACCAGTCAGACGAAAATAAAGCCTGGCTTGACACTATAATCCATGTTGCCATGGAGTCTCTTAGGATATGTAGCCTCCTGCTCCAGCCTGTTATTCCAAGTTTTTGTGATAGACTCTTGACCAGACTTGGTATACCAGGGACAGAACGAACTAGTCAACATTTCAGTATTTTTCCAGCATTTGAGGGTCAGAAAATCGGCTATTCATTAAGAAAACTTGGAGTCAAAGATAGTGTCATGTTTAAAAAAGTTAAAGATTGATTAAAGAATTATAAAATTGATATATGTCCTTAGGATCTTTTCAAAAATATGAAATAAATTGTATCTCTGAAAGTGCCTACCTATTGAGCTCACTCAGTGTTCTTATAAAAATTGCAAGAGAAGAAAGAGAGGGGTCTCCCTTTGTGTCAATGGAGACTAAGGGTGTCATGTTGGAAGAAATATTTTCTTGGAGATCTGGTGAAATGAGCTATCTTGACATATTTAATTTTAATTTGCTGTGCATTATGGTACCCATCGGCACTACCTTTTTGTATAATAATGTAGAAAAAACATGCAATTATTATGAATTTGCGGGAGATGTGTTAATTTCCGGGAGATGGGTTAATTTCTGGAAGATTCTTGCTTGCTTGTTGGAATGCAGGAGGCCATCCCAACTTCTGGCAGACTTGTGACCTCTGTATTGTATTATGTGTGAAACAAATTAAATAACTTTTAAAAATGTACCTAGTTTTACTTACATTAATAATAATAATAGTGTAGTTTTATATAGCGCACAAATCCATCTAATGTAAGATGCTCAGGGCGCTTGAAATGTGGACTAGGAACTCGATCAATGACTTGCTTCGCCCCTAAGGGTCCCTTAGTGTCTGTGCTACCCGGTAACCCGGTACCAGCAACTCTCGTCGTCCACCACAGGGGCTGTCTGTTCCAGTACACCGGGGTATCCCCCTACTCATCTCGAAGGATGTACAGGGTTCTTTATAGTGCACACGAGCCATTGTATACACTGGGCCTATGGTTTATAGTCCTTATCTGAGAAGACTTGTTCTACCAGCAGAACCATAGGCGATCGTGGCCGTTCGAACCAGCGCCCATTTTATGGCTATAGCTTGCGGCACCCCTGCTAACCGCTCGGCCATTCGACTCACATTAAGCTTTAGTAATCTTTTGTCACATCATTTCACAAACCATGCCATCAGCGATGGCTCCAGAAATTTGCTGACAAGGGGTCCAAACCAAGGGGCCGACTGGAGCCTCGGTTTGGGTCTCAGAATAAAAAATCCTTGTTAGTGTTCATAGGGAGAGTTTTATGGCTTAGTATGGCCCAAAATATTATGGATTGGCAATAAAAAAAAACGGAATTTGTATAGGCACCTTGTTATTTTCGATCCGACGACCTCGTCGTAGCGTCCGACAACAGGTGGAAGGTCAAGCCCTGTCTGACGGAGGGGGGAATTCCGCCTCGCCACCACTGCACGCCATTAGGATTGCTTATCAATTACATATTACATACTTCGTAAGATTTTGCAAAACATGATATCTTGCAATTTGACGGGATTCACAAATCACTTACTTCCCCTAGCATCCGGGACCATATCGTCGCTGATGTCTTTCGAGCGGTGTACTGTGCTTTCGATGCCTTGCCGTTACAGTAACTATTTTCAACCTAGGAAAACTATACTTTATGCTTTAGGAACATTAGGGTTATTACGGTTGTCAGTGCGCTACCATTTGTTGGGGTTGGTAGCTATGATGCGGTATCTACAGGACCTGTAACTTATTGCAGACACGTTTATTTTCCTAGTGACCCTGCCATTTACACCGTTCATTTTGCCCTATACAGTTTCTGTGGTTGGGCGGTCGTGATCATTGGCGCCGTTTGTAATATTAAAGTGGTTTACGCGATTTACGCCATGTCAAAGGTAGCTGCAGTGAATCTGAACCTGAACATTCCAACTCAGAAACCAAGAAATAAAGAGGCAAACCAACATCGCTAGAACTGTGATTGTGATTTTCACCGGATTCACAATATGCTGGGTTCCTTGGTTTGTATGTCCTTTATTTCTGTTTTTATATTCTAATTCAATCGTTTAAACTCAGATACTGTGTAGGGCCCTGTCTCTTATACACATCTAGATGTGTATAAGAGACAGCTCTTACTCTGAGATGCACTTATTGTAGTTTTTACTTGCATAACATTTGAACATTTGACACTTGCGAGCTGAAAATCAGCAGTATGGTTTTGAAGGTCAAATCTAAACTAATTGGATACTAATATGAATTCCTTTATATCTACTATACAGTACACTGGAACTAACTGGAATGTTATAGCAAATGTACATTAACTAGCTAAAAGCTTCATTTTCTATTACCTACAAATGCTGACCTTTCGCCACCTGCGATGACCACAGCAGCATTTTATTTGAAGGTCAAACCTAAATCTACAGGACATGAAATATGAATTATTGAATGTTAAGAGCACAGAACACTGGAATTTTATAAAAAGGAACTACAATTGACCTTTAACCACAAACACTGATCTCTGACCTCCAAGGTGACCTCAGCACCATTTTAAGATTTGAAAGTCAAACCTAAATAATTTGGAAATCAAATATGAATTTCTGGATATTAACAGTACA